GGCCTTAAACTCCCAGAATTCCTCAACTTTAAGAGTTGTGCATTCAATTCCCAGAATTCCTCATCCAGCTTTGTTGGCTGAGGAATTCTGGGAGTTGAAGTCCACAAGTCTTAAATTTGCTAAGGTTGGAAACCCCTCCATATTCCTCTCTTTCCCTCGTTTCATTGCAAACTGCAGGTTGTCCTCGACTTACGACCACAATGGAGCCCAAAATTCCCGTTGCTAATCAAGGGGGTTGTTATGTGAGTTTTGGCCCCATTTTATGACCTTTCTTGCCCCGGTCGCTAAAGTGAATCACTGCAGTTGATTAGTTAGCAACCCAGTTGTTAAGTGAACCTGGCTTCCTTGTTGTCAGAGGGTTGCAAAAAGGGACATTGCAACCGTCGTAAATACGGGTCTGTTGCCAAGCGGTGGAATTTTAGTCATGTGACCATGGGGAATGCTGCAGTGGTCATAAAGTGTGAAAAATGCTCATAAGTCACTTTTTGTAATGATGTGGATTCCAATGGTGACTAACAAACTGTTGTAAGTCAAGGATAATATTGTATGTTCACGGCCAGCACTACTATCAGCAAAGTGAAAGTATAAACGACACAAAGATTTAACAGGTGATTGGGTATATACATTTGTTTCATAGATATATAAATCCCCAAATAGGGTATAATCATTTTTATATGATTCCCAGATGACAATTTCCAACTTTTAGTTATGATGAGTCCAATCCCATGAAGGTTTTTCTCACAAATAGACCACAGGGTGTCGAGTGACACTTTCTTCAAGGAGATACACAGCCCAACTGGATTTTCTCTGGCCACCTGTTGGACCAGCCAGATTTTGGACTCAATTATCCAGAGTGTTTTCCACCTGCAGTTCGCCCTCCCCTCCCATTAGAATGGCAAGTTGGGAACGCAGAGAGCCAAGGCGCCAGGGCTGCTTCCGTGTGGCATTTGCACCCCAAGTGCCTTTTTGGAAACAGAAAGAGTGCCCCCTGTCAGCTGATGAGGAAACTCTCATCTGAGAGCAAATATATTAACCTTTGGAGACACTCAAGTCATCAGCAGCTGGAATGGAAAGTATAATAATGAAGCGAAAAAAGTTGAGGTGGACATTTTTGATTGCTGGACATTTGTGGTATGGACCTTGTCACATGTATTGAGAGGAGCAACTAAGATGTCCAAAGGCCTGTAGACTAAAACATATGAAGAACAGGTGCAGGAATTGGGTTTGGCTAGTCTAAAGACAAGAAGAATTAGAGGTGACATGATAGGAATATTATTTGAGGGGTTGCCCCGAAGAAGAGGGGGTCAACTTATTTTTCAAAGCACCAAAGAAGGCAAGACAAGAAACAATAGGTGGAAACTAACCAAGAAGAGAAGCAACCTGGAATTAAGAAGACACTTCCTAACAGGGAGGACAATTAACCAGTGGAACAGCTGGCCTCCAGAAATCGTGGGTGCTCTGGAAGTTCATTGGAGGCTTTTAAGAAGAGACTGGACAGTCGCTTGTCTGAAATGGTCCTTCTTGAGCTCCTCCCAGCTCTATTCTGATTGGTTGATTGATTTAGACATACCAGTTGACCATTTGAGGTGGTGAAGATGCAGCTTCTCTTAGCTGCTAGCCAACTTTTTCTAGTCTACAAAGCTGGTTCTGATTAGCATTTGGATGTGGACATTGGTGGAATCCCAATGTTGTAGACTAGATCAATCAGTTGAAAAATCTCCCAGAGGAAGACAATTGCAAGCCACTTATGCACTGCTGCTTAAAAAAAAATATGCCTAGACTTTGTGAAGTCAACCAAACTTTCCTTGACCCGAAAGCCTTTTACCTTGAATTCTAGCTTAGGTAAGAATTAAGGGACACATACACCCTTAATTGGCTGCCACGTCTTTCAAATGGTCTCTTGCTTGAGCAGGGGGTTGGACTAGAAGACCTCCAAAGCCCCTTCCAGCTGCATTCTGATTAATTAGGGGGATGGTTGGTAAGGATTGTGGTCCTCAACGTACAACCACAATTGAGCCCAACATTTCTTTGTTGAGACATTTATTAAGTGAGTTTTGACCCATTTTACAACCTACCTTGACACAGTTGTTAAATGAATCACTGCAGTTATTAAGTTAGTAACCTGGTTGTTAAGTGAATCTGGCTTCCCCTTTGACTTTGCTTGTCAGAAGATCGGAAAAAGTAATGACATGATCCTGGATCACTGGAACCATCATAAATATGAGTCAGTTGCCAAGCATCCAAATTTTGATGCCATGATCATGGGGATGCTGGAAAGGCCATAACTGTGAAAAATGGTCATAAGTCACTTTTTCAGTGTCATTAAACGAACTGTTGTAAGTCGAGGACTAACCTGTTCTGCAGTTGCTGGAAAATGGAAAGATGATGGCAAATCAGGAAGAGCTGAAATCAAGAACACAATGGATTGCCTTTAACGGCAGCTGAGTTTTACACAAGAAGGATCAACTGATTAAGGACAACTGGCAGATCATTCAAGGGGAATTTGCTGCCAATTTGGGGACTGTACCAAAATATTTGGATCACACCATTGATGCTTTTTAATATCAGGTTTCCGCAAGATGAGTTTCTTGCATATTGTCAGCAGAAATGAAAACTTCTGAGTTGATACAGATTTCTCATATTTTGACAATGCAGGTGGGGAATTTCTTGCATTGTGATAATAGATGGGCTCATTTTTATGACTCAGAAATATAGTGTTGATCTCAGTTTCACTGCAAAAACACGTCAACATCCAACCACTGGCAGGAAAACCCGTGGTTACAGTTTGCGGGGGGGGGGGGAGAGAAGGAAATGATTTAATTGAAATAAATTTCATTATTATTTGGTGATGACTTTAAGAAGCTTGTCCATCATTGGCAGAACAGAATAGAAAATGATGTCATTATATGGAGAAGTTAAATACAGGTAACAGAAGAGTTCATTTCAAATATTTTTTGTTTCATATATACCCCTACCCCTACTTAAATTAAAGTTATGAAGATGGGGGCATTATTTTTCAATCATCCCTCATAGACTTCTCCAGAGAGCTACCAATAGGTCTTTGCGTAATGTATTTAAATTACAATAATTTGAGCCTAATCACTTGTTCCTTGAACAAGAATTCTGCTTTTTTGGAGGGAGGTTATGGGTATATCACCCATGTCAAATTTTTCAACTTTCAATTTCCAAACATTAGGGGTGTTCCAAAGTTGTGACATGCCTTGGGGATTGTAAAGATATTTTGGTATAATTTAGATGTGCTTGGTAAGTAACTAAATCAATACCATAGCTTTTTAACTTTTTGTTTCATTTGCATCTGAATATATTCTCCAAGGCCTTTATGGCTGCTATATCAAGCGTTGGTTTGTAATATATTTCTTGACTGCTTGTTCCGTTATTGATGGTTGATCCTAAAAGGGTGAAACTCTCCAGCAGTTCAATATCTTCATTGTCGAAGATGATATTTAACTTCAGTTGTTTTTAGAGAATCAGAGTGATAGGAGGTTGCAGCAATGTGCCCTATGCAAATCTGGATGGAAAGGAGCATCCTAAGAGAGGATAGTAGCGAAGGACAAATCTAAGAGAGCCAATTTATCAAGAGGCTTAATAAGGCTTCCTCTTAAAGCTTTTAAAAACATTGTATTTTCCACTGCCTATGAAATGCTGCCTATTCCTATGACTGTGTAGTTTCTTTTTTTAAAAAATGGAAAAGTTTGGAATGATAAAAGCATGAAGGTGTGGCCCCATTATGAAAATAAGCTGCTTTGTATGGTTGAAAGGTTAAACCTACCTGCAGAATCTCAACGTGGCATTTGGACTGTTTTCAAAGATCAGCCGTGAAAGCAGTTATCAGAAGCACCGGCTGCTCTTCTTACCGTTCCTATGGGATGTCCACTGATAACACCACTCAGCATGATTTTGTTCTGTGCTCTGTGCTGGGATGTATAGATAACTATGTAGGTCCAAAGTCACAACTGAACCAGTATCTTTATGGCGGCCAAGCAAATGTCATAAAACCGGCTGTTAAGCTTTTCAGAAACCTTTGTCAGATTAGAAGCTGGTGGCAGAAGAAATTGAAAAAGTACTTAAAAAAGTGGCTACATGTTATGACTGAGGTTGCACCCTGGACCTCAGGCGGAGGCGACAGGTTTCATGAGGGTGCTGCCTCATTCAAACGGTGAAGAACTGTGGGGTAGTAGGT